TTCAGAACTTCAGACACTTTAACAATTTGAAATCATGTTTCAAAAATTTCGAAAATTTTTCGAAACAGTTGATAGTTCGAGTATTCCAAAAATTCCTCGAAAAAACTCAAGAATCTTAAAAGTTTTTTAAAACTGAAATTTCAAAAAAATTTCAAGTTCTCAAAAAACTTCAGATATTGGAAAAATATTTGAAAAATGTTTTTTTCTTAGAATTCAAACACACACACATACACACACAAACACGTGCGAAAAAATCCTAAAAAACAAAAAAAAACAGAAATTCAGAAGTTCAGAAATTCAGAAATTCAGAAATTCAGAAATTCAGAAATTCAGAAATTCAGAAATTCAGAAATTCAGAAATAAAAAAAGGATGAACTTCAAAACTTTTGGAACCTATTTCCAATCCGATTCAAAATCTACCAAAACAAAATTTCCAGATTTTCAGATTTTTTTCTGAAAATCTAAATTTCTGAAAATTCTGAAAACAACAACAAAAATAGACCAAAAAATACGTCAAAAAAGCTTCAAATTTTAGGATGTGTGTGTATGTGACACTTTTTTTTTCGAAACAGATGGAAGGAACAATTGAGCACAAATTTGTGCTCTTTTTCTCCTTCTTCTTCTTTTATTCAAACCATCAAAATTTTTGGAAAAGAAGAAGACGACGTCGTCAGAAGACAACGTCTTCTTCCATTTCTATATATTTTTAATCCGAAAGATTTTTTTGGTTTGGAAAAAATAGGGAAATAAGAACTACTTAGCAATTCGGAGGAAGGAACGAAATACGGATATTTGTGGGAAAATCGAAAATTCAAACTTTGAAAAATATTTTTCAAAGGTTCAAAACTCAAATATTAGGGAAAATATAGGAAATTTGAAAATACCATACAGGCTCTAACAGAACGCCACCCGAACGTTCAACTTTGAGACGATATATCTCGTTTTCTGTGAAAGGTATTCAATAATGGTCAATTAAGAAAATGTTCATTATAATATCACCAATATTTTATCAGTTTATAGTTTGTTAGTATCTTTTACAGGAAATGAGATACATCGTCTCAAAGCGGATGGTTTGGGTGCATACTTGTAATCCGGGCCTTTCGCAGGCCTTCGCGGGCCTTGCCATTGTTTCTTTCAGAATCATTATTTTTAGACTAACTAAAACAAATATGATAGCGCTTGACGAGTACTACAAAATAATATTATTTAGAGAACTGTATCTTGTTTGCGAACAAAGTTACAGGCGAAAAAAAGCGAAAAAACAGGCCCGGCCCGGCACGGCTCGGCATATTTGAAAAAAGCCACTTTATAGCCTGTAACTTTGTTCGTGGACAAGATTCAGTATTCCGCATAAAATTATTTTGTAGTACTCGTCGAGTTCTATCATATCCAATTTAGTTGGTCTAAAAATTTTGATTCTGAAAGAAACTATGCAGGGTCCGCGAAGGCCCGGATTTCAAGTATGTTTGGGTGGCGTTCTATTAGAGTGTATACGGTAGATGAATTATTCGAAAAAAAGAAAATTTTGGAATTTAAAAAAATGTTAGGATTTCTAGAAGTTTCGTAACATTTCTCGATACTTTCAAGATTTTTCAGATTTTCAAAGATTTTACAATATTTGGAATTTCGAAGAAATTATAGGAATTTTTCAACTCTTTGGATTCAAGTTAAAATTTTTGTTTCTAAATGTTTAGTTTTAAAATGAAACTTCTTCGAAATTCTTTCAAAAAAAACGTTTTGTTAATTATCTCTGGAGACTAGTAAATAATCGACTGAAGGAGCGAACAAACATTTTTTTTCTAGAATTTTTGGTCCAAAAAATTGAGAAAAAGAGAGCAAAAAGTGGAAGAAGAGGGGGGTCTTCTCTTTTGTCAAATATGAATTGAATGGTCCTCCAGAGATACACACACACACATTGCTAACATTCTTTTCACACAAATTTCACTTTTTTGGAAGAATTTTGAGGAACTTTCCGTTTTGAACGAGCAAAATTTTGAGACAAAATTTCCAACTTGGCAATTCAGAAATTCAGAAATTCAGAAATTCAGAAATTCAGAAATTCAGAAATTCAGAAATTCAGAAATTCAGAAATTCAGAAATTCAGAAATTCAGAAATTCAGAAATTCAGAAATTCAGAAATTCAGAAATTCAGAAATTCAGAATTCCAGAAATTCAGAATTCCAGAAATTCAGAATTCCAGAAATTCAGAATTCCAGAAATTCAGAAATTCAGAATTCTACAAATTCAGAATTCTACAAATTCAGAAATTCAGAATTCCAGAAATTCAGAAATTTTGAAAAATATTTCGAAAGTTTTAAAATCACCAAAAACGATATTCTTGGAAAAATGCTATTTTTAGGTTCTTACCTTAACACCCTTTTTCTTAAATTGTCCATTTTTAATAATAGCTTTTTCAAATGTCGGCGGGGTGTGCAGATAGATAGTGGCTTGACATTTTTTAATCATTTTTTCTGTTTTAAAAATGAAAATCTATATTTTTGAGGGCTCAAAATGAGCTAAAAAATGAGGAAATGCACTTGGAGAAGATATAGAATCTAATCTAATTAATTAGAAATTGTATAGGACAAATTGGAAAATTCTGGGACCAGAAAAAAAATCGGCCAGACAACAATTTGAAGTCATTTTTTAGCTAGCTGCAAATTTCAAAATTTGAAATTCGCGCCAAAAAATATTTAAAGCCAAGACTCACTCTGTAGGCGGGACGAATGTTGTTGTAGGTTCGATTGACGGCCGTTGTTGATTGGCAAACCTGGAAATTTTGGTTTTCGGCTACTTCTAACTATGTTTTCAGACAGAAAATTAATTCCAGTCCTCAAAATAAGTTCCAACCCCCCTTAAAAAACATTTAAAAGGAATAAAAAAAAAAAAGAAAAAAAGCATAGAAGAGGAGAGAACATGGATATTGGAACTTTTCAAAAAGTTTCGGATTTTGAAAAATTATCAGAAATCCTAACCAAAAACCGCTAAAAATACCAAAAATACTTATCAGAATATTGTTGGAAATTTAAATGTGCAGCTGAAAAAAGTACAAAAACCTGCTAGTCAAAAAAAAAAGTAAAAAAGTAGAAAATTCAAGAGAAATGACTCAAAGGATTAAGAATTTTGAAGAATGATATGTTTCGAAATTTTTGGGTTTTTTTTCTTGTTCTTTGTTTTCAGGTTTTTCTATAAAGTCTCAAATTTTCAGCCAAAATTTTCAGAATTTCTCAGAATTTTTGAAACATTTCCAATTTTAGAACCTGTCAATTTTTTAAAATTTCATTAATTTAAGCCTAAATCAATGTTCTTTTTGTCAAAATGACCAGCGACGAACATTGGGCGGCTGATGGGCGGGCCAATGTTTTAAAGAATTTTAAAATTCCAATTTTTATAAAAATTTCAGGACAAAAATCTCACTTTATAGGCAGCCGGATCCTCAGTTTTGTCCAATTTCTCATATTCCACAAATGCTCCTTCTTCCTCATTTTCTGGCTTCTCGTTCTCGTTTCCGTAGGATGAATACTGCAAAAAAAAATGTTTTTCAACTTTGAGCCCGATTATCGTGTTTTCTGTGATAGATATCAAAAATTTTTCAACTGATAAAGTGTTTATCAGGTTATAAGCAATATTTGGTTAGTTGATTACTTTTTGATATCTTTCACAGGAATTGAGATAAATTGGCTTCAAGTTGAGCTCCTAATCGGCCAACTTGGAATTTTACAGTTCTCTAACTTTGACGCAATGTTTCTAGGCTCCTGGAAAAGGTATCAAAAAGTTGTAAACTAATAAAGTGCTTATCATATTATCAGCAACATTTTATCAGTAGACCACTTTTTGATATCTCTCACAGGAATTGAGATAAATTGGCTCCGAGTTGAGCTCCTAATCGGCCAACTTGGAATTTTACAGTTCTCTAACTTTGACGCAATGTTTCTAGGCTCCTGGAAAAGGTATCAAAAAGTTGTAAACTAATAAAGTGCTTATCATATTATCAGCAACATTTTATCAGTAGACCACTTTTTGATATCTCTCACAGGAATTGAGATAAATTGGCTCCGAGTTGAGCTCCCTAACGGCCCATTTGTAATTTTGGAGCCCTCTAATTTTGACCCAATTTATCTTGGTTACTAAAGAGGTATCAAAAAGTTATAAACTAATAACACGTTTTTCATATTATCAGCAACATTTTATCTGTTAAAAACTTTTTGATATCTCTAGTAGTAACTGAGATAAATTGGCTCCAAGTTGAGCTTCCTACCGGCTCACCTGTTGGTCCAGAACCCTCTAACTTTGACTTAATGTATCTCGGCTCCTGTAAGAACTATCAAAAAGTCGTCCACTGATAAAATTTTTTTAATAAATTAAAAATATTTTATCAGTTGACGACATTTTGATAGCTTTCATAGGGACCGAGATAAATTGCCTCAATGTTAGAGGGACTAAGTGACTACGGTACTTTGGAAAATTGCTCATAACTTGCTTCGTTTTGAAGCTAAAAACTTGATTTTTGTACTAATTGAAAGAACGTAAAACCCAAAAACGAAAAAGTTCAAACTACCTCCGGATCATCAGTGACATCCTCAATGACCATTCGATGATTCGAGTTATTATGATCATTCGAGTTGTTGTTGTTCGATCCACCACCACGATACGGATTGTTCACAGTGGACAACATCATCTGGAATAAAAAATGGATAGATAAAAAGTTGTAGAAATAGAAAATCGCCACAATTAATGTACATAAATTAGTGAACATCCATTCAAAAGGGGGAAAGGAAGAGGAAGTGGTTTTGAAGTGTATGTAATTAGGGAGAGAAGGGAATCTTCTGATGGTAATTTGAAAATCAGAAATTCGTCAACTAGAGAAATATTGGAAATTTTATAGGAACCATTATGTCAGTTAACGAAATTTGCCCAACTTTTCTAGTTTTTGAGATATGCGTGTTCAAAAAGGGACGTGTTTCAAGATTAGGCTGAAAAATTAGTGGATTCGAATTTTGCTCCTAACTTGCTGGGTTTTGTAGATACCAAAAATTTGCTAACTACAATAATGTTAGTTCTAAAATTTTGAATATTTTGTTAGTTAGCAAAAATTAACTAGCTAATCTAGTTTTTGAGATATGCGCGTTTAAAGAAAGGTTGTTTCTTAGATTAAGGTGAAAAATGGCACCAATTTGAATTTCGCGCCTAACTCGCTGAGTTTTAAAGTTATCAAAAAGTTGTAAACTACAAAAATGTTAGTTATAAAATTTTAAATTATTTGTCAGTTAACAAAATTAGCCTAACTTTTTTAGTTTCTGAGATATGCGCGTTCAAAGAAAGGTGATTTCAAAAAATTCCAAAGAGAATAATTTTTTTGGGAATCTTTTTTTGAAGTTTCCAAGAAACATCCCTTTCAAATTTAATTCCACAAAACCTATATTTAAAGGATTACTGTACTAGAAAACTAAAAAGACAGGTGACTGAATATGAAAGAATACAGAAAATAATGGGGGGGGGGGGGCGAAAAATGAGAAACTGGTTTCGTCAATTTTTGATTTGACGGTCAATTGGACAGAGACAAAGTAAAAAAGATGGGGTTTGAATTTGAAAATTGAGAGGAAATTTGAAAAAAACCAAATTCAAAAATTGAAGATTTTGTCTACCGAAAATGACCAAAAACAAGATAACTATTTTTTTTTGGGAAACCTGAACTACTGTTTTTTTGCCGAATTCTCAAAAAAAGAATGGGATGAGCAGGTTTTGGGTGTGAGCACAAACACTATTTGGCCGGTAAATAAACGAGGGAATTGTTCAAAAAAACTAACACTTTTCAGTCAAAAAGGTGGCCTAGAATTTTCAGTTTTGGACGAATTCAAAGAAAGTCTAAAATCTTCTTTATTTTTGAAAATTTTCCAGCTTCCACCGCGTATATCTCAAACACGAAAGAAGCTAGAAAAATTTTGTTAACTGATAAAATATTTAAAATTTTATGATAAACATTTTTGTAGTATGCAATTTTTTGATAGCTTTTAAACCGAGCGAGTTAGGCGCCAAATTCAAATTGGCGCCCTTTTTAGAACAACCGTCATTTTTTGAACGCGCATAACTCAAAAACTAGGTTAGCTAGAAAAGATTTGTTAACTAATGAAATATTGACAGGTTTATAACAAACACTTTTGCAGTTTGCAACTTTTTGATATCTCTTAAACCCGGCGAGTTATGCGTCAAATTCAAATTGGCGCCGTTTTTAGACCAACATGAAAAACCGCCCATTTTTAAACGAGCATATCTCAAAAACCACTAAAGCTAAAAAAACTTTGTCAACTAACAAAATATTTAAAACTTTATAATAAACATTTTGTAGTTTACAACTTTTTGATATCTCTAATCTCAAAAAAGTTATGGGCAAAGCAAGACAACAACAGGTAAACAAACAAAACAATAACGCGCAAGAGAGTACACAAATCGAAGAGAGTGTCCAGACAACGAGAGTGTGGTTTTTTTGGCGCGCGCCAAACCGGAAAATTGACACAAAAGACACGGTTTTGTGTTGTTCCAAATTGAGAAAAATAGAGGGAAAAGAATTCGAATTGAGGAAAAAATTAATCAAAAAAATTTGTATAAAGGGACACAACACATGGTTTTTTGTCGAATTCTAAAAAAATGAATTTTTGTGATTTTTGTCCCAAAAAAAAATAGGAATTGAGAGGTTTGAAGGGATAGAAGAATAAGGAAAAAAAGAGATACGGAATAGGGCAATCGATCTATTGAGAGTACATTTAGGATGACCTTAGATTGATGGATTCTTAGAGAAAATAACCAAATTTTGATTTTTTTTTGAATTTCTGAATTTCTGAATTTCTGAATTTCTGAATTAACAAAATTGTGGTTCTTTCTAATGTTTGATATATTTTTTCTCCTAAAAAAATGATTTACGTAACAAGGGGAAGGAACAAAAATTGACAAAATTCGAACTGCGTAGCTGGCTGCAGAAAATAGCAAGAGGATTTTGTTTGATTTGATAAAATGATAGTGCCCCCCTCTTCAATTTCTCGGAGAAAAGAGTGTAGATCAAATTAGGAACAAGATGATGGAAATGAGAGAAAGAAATGATGACCCCGGTGGAAAAAATGGAAAAAAGATTAGGAAAAATGGGAATTTGGAAACTTAGAAATTCAGAAACAGAATTTCGGGGATTCAGAAATTCAGAAATTCAGAAATTCAGAAATTCAGAAATTCAGAAATTCAGAAATTCAGAAATTCAGAAATTCAGAAATTCAGAAATTCAGAAATTCAGAAATTCAGAAATTCAGGAATTCCGAAATTCAGAAATTCAGAAATACAGAAATTCAGAAATTCAGAAATTCAGAAATTCAGAAATTCAGGAATTCCGAAATTCAGAAATTCAGAAATTCAGAAATTCAGAAATACAGAAATACAGAAATTCAGAAATTCAGAAATTCAGAAATTCAGAAATTCAGAAATTCAGAAATTCAGAAATTCAGAAATTCAGAAATTCAGAAATTCAGAAATTCAGAAATTCAGAAATTCAGAAATTCAGAAATTCAGAAATTCAGAAATTCAGAAATTCAGGAATTCCGAAATTCAGAAATTCAGAAATTCAGAAATTCAGAAATTCAGGAATTCCGAAATTCAGAAATTCAGAAATACAGAAATTCAGAAATTCAGAAATTCAGAAATTCAGAAATTCAGGAATTCCGAAATTCAGAAATTCAGAAATTCAGAAATTCAGAAATTCAGAAATTCAGAAATTCAGGAATTCCGAAATTCAGAAATTCAGAAATTCAGAAATTCAGAAATACAGAAATACAGAAATTCAGAAATTCAGAAATTCAGAAATTCAGAAATTCAGAAATTCAGAAATTCAGAAATTCAGAAATTCAGAAATTCAGAAATTCAGAAATTCAGAAATTCAGAAATTCAGAAATTCAGAAATTCAGAAATTCAGAAATACAGAAATTCAGAAATTCAGAAATTCAGAAATTCAGAAATTCAGAAATTCAGAAATTCAGAAATTCAGAAATTCAGAAATTCAGAAATTCAGAAATTCAGAAATTCAGAAATTCAGAAATTCAGAAATTCAGAAATTCAGAAATTCGGAAATTCAAGAATTCCGAAATTCAGAAATTCAGAAATTCAGAAATTCAGAAATTCAGAAATTCAGAAATTCAGAAATTCAGAAATTTGGAAATTCAAGAATTCAGAAATTCAGAAATTCAGAAATTCAGAAATTCAGAAATTCAGAAATTCAGAAATTCAGAAATTCAGAAATTCAGAAATTCAGAAATTCAGAAATACAGAAATTCAGAAATTCAGAAATTCAGAAATTCAGAAATTCAGAAATTCAGAAATACAGAAATTCAGAAATTCAGAAATTCAGAAATTCAGAAATTCAGAAATTCAGAAATTCAGAAATTCAGAAATTCAGAAATTCAGAAATTCAGAAATTCAGAATTCC